GAGGAAGAGGAAGAGGGGGGGGGGAGGGGGGGTCACATCATCGTGAATAACTACGTGTATAACTACGTGACAATGTTCTAATTCTGCATGACAACGCAGTAAAATTCGTCGCATAAACGCGCCCGCGCGCATTTGCATTCGCCGAATATCTGACAAACTCCAAATCACCGGAGAAATCTGCCGTAATAAAGTTCCGCCGGTGTGTATGACAAATTAACTGACGTGTCAGTGATTTTCGTGCGTGAAATATAGAGTTTCGTGAAAATATACGCGCTTTCCCGGCGCGCAATTGAATGAAATAGCCCCGTTTTCCCTCGGTCACTGCTTAAAAATGCATACGAGAAGATTGGAAGATGCAGAGATGGGAAAACAAGATCGGCTAACCACATTATGCACGCTTAATGCATGACGGGAAGAGTTGAGAGGCTCGTAATTCACGAGCAGACGGCCGAAGAATGAAAAGAAGATGTGTAATTCTTCGGCCCGCGCGAATCGAGCTCTCGATTCGTAATACGGATAAAAGTTTATCCAATGGAGATCTTTTAGAGGACCTATTGATTTTATTCGTATCGAATCGTTCATGAGAACGCACGAGCCGTTCACGAGGACTTTTGTCTTTTTCTTTCTTCTCCTTTTTCTCCTTTTTTCCTTTGCTTCTGGTGTCTTCCCTTATTGCTATCCTTCTAGTTTCGACTCGTTCCACCGTTTCCGTTTCCCTCTGGCTCCGAAACTGACCTCTCTCTCTCTCTCTCTCTCTCTCTCTCTCTCTCTCTCTCTCCTCCTCCTCCCTCCCTCTCCATCTTGTCCTTCCTTCTTCCCTCCCCCCCCCTCTCTCTCTCTCTCTCTGTCAACCCCGCATGGGAAATCTCAAATACGAGTCTGTTTACCTGGCACTTGAAATCCCGGTGGATATCGATGATAAGATTTCGCCCTCGCCCTCGCCCTATACCACTCCGCGTCACGTTTCCTGCGTCCCTTCCTCCCCCTTTCTCATCCCCTTCATGACACAATTCTCCGTTTAGATTATGCAATTTGTATTGCGCGTGTTAACTACCTTTGCGGTCTGACCGTTGCGAGCGCAATAATAGCTCTCGCCGTATCAGATCTCGCTGGAACTTCCCTTGAGAACAACGAATTCGTTCTGAAAATGTACGACGCGGATGATTACGGTATGATTGATCTCATGATGCTATATGCCTGATGTCTTATGCGACATTATTAGGAACAATTAAGTCTTTCTGCATGCAGAGAAGCAGGGATTCCGTTTACATTAGGCAGTAATGAATTAAATCAGACGTTTCTGTTTCAAGAGGACGAATTCCGTCAGTCATGTTATAGTTTCAATCGCTATGAACACTAAATCATAAATATTGAAGACAAATTAAATCATGTCTTTAATTATTCCACTATCATGTATTTATTTATTCCACTAAATTTTCGTATTTCTTAATTTCAAGTGATGAAAAGGGAAATAGTTTTTTTCAGAACAAGATAAAGTTGAAATAAAAATAAATTCATAAAATAAATAAATTCAACAAACAATTCGAAAAACAAATAAATTTTTCAACGAATTTTCAAATCTCTTATTTTCAGTTATGTTTTGAAATAATTCATATAAAACATGGATTTTTCTTTGAATAAATAAAAACTCGGTACCCTAAAACGATATACATTTTTCTCAGAAATAAATTGTGATGTTTTATAGCTGATGCGTTTTAACCATGGTTTGTGCGCAAATTAATTTAACGGAGTGCAAGCGAAGTGAAAAAGGATCAGAGTCTACCCAGCTGCTTTTATCGTAACATTCGTATAAAATGCAATACACGTGTACGATATTCTTTTTAATAGTTCAACTTCTCCTGTACTATTTCTTTCACGTTTTTTGATGAAAGTATCGAATGTAATCATTTTTCTTCATTTTTTTTCGAAATTTCCTTGATTAGATGTTACACGCGATGCGATGATAAGCATGGATGCATCAACCTAGGCGGAAATGTTGTTTTACAAAATCCGGTAGAGCTGAAATTTCGACTCCGGGAATATTCGTGGTGCGGATGAAATTGGGATTTGTCGGATTTGTGGATGCTCCGCATTGCGCTACGGAGTTACGGATATCCGGATTTTTCAATATAGCAGGTAATCTCAATCACGTACTCCCTCTCTTTCTCTTTCTACTTTCACTCCATCTCTCTGTTTTCTCTCTCTCTCTCTCTCTCTCTCTCTCTCTCTCTCTCTCTCTCTCTCTCTCTTCATGATATATCGCGACGTGCATGTCGCAAACCGTATTAATTTGCTCTGGAATATTTGCCATCACTGCCGTTCGAAATTTTATAATGGAACATGTACCAATCTGGATATATGCAACGCTCTATTTTTCTCATCGTTTGGTCATTGGTTCCATGACTTTTTTCTTTCTACTTTACTCGCGCGTTAGAATAGAGATACTCAATGGAAATTCCGCAAATTAATAGTTTCCTTGCTTTTCGTTTGATTGGCGGGGAACGTATTAAAGTGGGTCAAGGAAGAAAACATTTCGATATTCACACAACATCGATTTGATCGCGACATCCTTTTATAATTTATGAAAAAATTCAAACACTTTAAAAAATATATCAGTATGGATTTAACACTGCATTGTTTACGCAGTCTATATTTTAAACTATAGTATCTCAACCCTTTTTGACTCACTGCCTTCTTTCTAAGTTTTTTTTTTGTTTAACGCCTCCTTTGCGAATAAACTGATAAATCGGGTAATCGGCAAACTATCTCTAAATAAAGCAACAAAAAGGAAATTACACAGAAACAAATAAAAAATATTATTCACGCAGCGCTCTTTTATTAATGAACCTGACAAAATATGCACAGATGTATTTACTTCGATTATTCCGTACAAGAAAATATTAGTGTATTAGAAAAAAATTGCACAATAAAACAATAAACCTTATATATCATACAACTTAAATCAATACAGAAGATTGATTGACATATTTGATTCTTATAAAAATATACATACATAACTGTAAATATTTGTATAATCAAGTGAATTTAAGTGTTTGTTTAGAAAATATTTAGGGGATTTCTCTGGTGTGTTCTTTTTCCTATTTGCTTCTCAAATTAGAAAGCCTCACAGGGAGAGAGTGGCAAATTGCATCACGTGAGTTTTTGGAATTTCTTCCATGCCTATGGAATTTGGGAGTTTTAATGTTAAAGAATAAAAATCGGAGCGTCAAATTAGCTATATCTCAAGTTTATTATAACAATGGATTACATTCTCAAAACGGAGCACGTTTTATTTCGCTCGTGTCTCTAAGTCGACTCTCACGTCTTTTGATCGTCCGCAATTCTCGAAACTTCTACGAATGCCAAATATTATTTCGCATAATCTTGTTTAAAAATTTGAACGATTCTATTCCGTTGCGAGTAACTATTTAAATAATAAATTATTACGAATTAACATTAATCAGAGGAATCAGAGCATCGATTTCGTATATGTTACAATTTTATAAGTCTCTGTTTATTCAATAATAATAGGCAATAATAACAGCCACTTCGAGATTACTAAAAGAAAGTTATATACGCGTTTAAAAGGCTTGTCTCGTATTTGCGATCGGTTATCCGTGTATAGCCGTTTCATATGAACGTTGAGTACGAATATATTGTGTCGCGTCTGTATGTATGAGTGTGTCATTGTCGACGAATTCCGTGAAGACGAATACCGGTAATGATCGTTACAGGAGTTGTGGTGCCCATGCTCACTCAGAGGAGACAGGTTACGTGATGCAGTTTGCCATTTTCTTCCTGTGAGGCTCTCTATTCTCGTCTTCCCCCCCCCCCTTAGAACTAACAACGTCTCCCTACATTTCACCGGGGGCTGATGACGCCCACGTTGGGAATCTGTTTTAAACTATACAACTTTTGTGTGAAACATTTTTCTCAGAAATGTTTACTTTTCAAGATACTTAAGGTGTCCGAGACTTTTTGAATACTCTGTATAATTCTCTACTATGTTAATATTAACATCACCATGGTGTGGATTAAATACTCCTGGTGCCCATATCAAAAATATTATGATATGGATTTAAAATTTATAATGTTGAATTGGCTATTGGGTTGGCAAGAAAGTAATTGCGTTTTTTTAAAAAGCATCTATTAGCTAAAAACCGCAATTACTTTCTTACCAACCAAATATAAATATATCTTGATAGAGTAAAGTTTCAGCTTTAAGAATTTCTTTTTTAAATTGTGATACGACAATTTTTAATGTAGTATGAGCAATTAAAATGATCCTTTTATTTAATCCGCGATAACTTAGTAACCAAAAATCGTAGGAATATTAAAAAAAAATGATTTTGTAGAGAAAGTATCAAGCTTTCACGATAAGTCGAAAATTTTCTCAAATTTGTTTTGGATACGTTGCAAACTTACAAAGTAAGAAGAAAATTTTCC